TTCATATGTGTTGGAGAGGAAGCAATGAGATTATTGCAAGCAGGAACTGTGGAATGAGCCGAGCAAAGATGAGATGCCCAGGACAAAACTGGCTGGAGGCCTGGAGCCAACTGCGTAGGGTTTCTGAGGGGCCAAAGAAATGGGAGCTGTTTCAGAAGCACAAGCAGCAGAAAACTGAGAGCAGCAACAGGCCAAGAGGTGAGAGCAGCTGCAGAGCTAGCAGCCATGCCAACCTCTGCACCAGTGACAATAGTTTACAACACTGATAGCAAACTTTCCCCCTCCCAGTCAGAAACGGAGAGATGCCAAAGTCTCAACAACAATTCAGGCCAGAGGCAACAGATGCCTGGCTGAAAAGCCTAGAAAATACCAACCAGAAACCAAGGCAGCTGTATACTGTATGCATGAAATATTATTCCAGGGAAACAACTTTGCATAATCAATCAGAGATTCTTGAAAAGCATCAAAGAATTTAAATACATTGTCCTAAATGTCAGATGAAGGAAAATCAACCTCGATTCTAGCTTTATTAAAGTTTTGAGTGGGTTGACTCAGGTGTGTATGTGTGCATGTGTGCGGTAAATATCTGCTATGAAGAACTATAGGTCCTCTGAAATATGTGCTCAGTCCAGGAATCTGTAATTAATTCTCAAACAAAACTCAAAAGAATACATCACATAAAAATCCACTTTTGAACTCCCAAACAGCATTCTTTTCAAGTTCTTAATTTAGGAGATTACTGGTTGTTGCTATTAGAAAATTGTCAATCAGAAATCTCGTTGTTCAGCCTACTTTCCATCCATCCAATTTGTAGTTGAGACCATGAGTTCTAGTCCCACCTTAGGCCAGCTGGATGACCTTGAGCCAGTCACTCTCTCTCAGCCCCAGAAAGTAGCCAATGGCAAACCACTTCCAAAATCTTGCCAAGAAAACTGCAGGGACTTATCCAGGCAGTGGATAGGAGTCAACACTGACTCCAAGACACAAACACATCCACATATCTTGTATATAAATTGAGAACCAAAGAACCATTACCATTACCAGATACAATGGTAATGATAACTCAAGGCTATTCAATTTATTATACACTTTGTCTAAATCGACACAGGTTCAACACTTCCTTTTTAATAATATTTCTCAATGATCTGCTTAAGAGCAAAATCTAGTCTGCATAGCCACTGCCCAGCATAAATCCACACTGACACTTCCCTGATTTTGTTCCTTGTCACCTTTCTACCCTTTTAATCAGGAGTCTGGTAGCACCTTTTCCCACTAACAAATTTCACTAAAAGGCATAAGCTTTCATGAGCTGAATTTCACTTCATCAGTTGCATACAGTTAGATAGATAGATACCCTTAGATTTACTCTTGCTATCTTTCCCTTTGCACAGGGAAAAAGTAACAGTATTCTTCACGCCCTAAGCACATATGCAGTTTTCACATATTAAACAAGCTGCCCAGCGACTCCATAGGCAAGCCACATCCTTATTTTAATATTTCTTTAGTTACTCCATCTATACCTACAGTCTTATAATTCAGAATGTTGTCCATTCCCAAACTCATTAATGGTTCTTCTGCATTTACAATTCATTAGAACTTAACATGCACCGATCACTAATCTAAAGATGCTTATTTTCATACACAACCACAACAACCTCAATCAATTGAAATACATTTTAGCTTTTAGCTTCACAATGAAATCTATACCTTCTCTTTCCTGCATGTATTTACCAACTTCACTCCACAAGACAAAGCACATTTATTCAGATCTATTTTATCCTTCTCTCTCTTCCCTGACATACAACATACAGTAATTTCTTTTTTAATTTCATTTGTTAATTTATGCTCTTTATCGTTGATTCCTTTTACATTTCAAGTCACGCTCTTCTATAAGGCATGGTCATCATGCAATGGGCTCACATGTGGGCCTACCTCTGCCACCCCTTGTGGTTTTGATCAACTAAAGCAGTGTTTCTCAATCTTGTCAACTTTAAGTTGGGGGGACTTCAACTCCCAGAATTCCCCAGCCAGTTAAAGTCCCCCCATCTTAAAGTTGACAAGGTTGAGAAACACTGAACTAAAGCATTCATATAACACTTTTTTGTAAAATATAGAAGATGTATATATTATGTTACCAGCCTTTGTTATACCCATGCCACATACAGCATTCTTGCTAACAGTAAGGACATTACTGGTAAGTTGTGATAAATTCTGGTAGTCCACTTTTACCTCAAGCACGTTCACACTATTTCAAGTAAGCTAGGGTCTCTAGTCTAGATACTATCTTGCAAGCCAACGTACTGTTGCTCACAATTTATCAACTGGGAGGCATATGCAGTGCATTGACAAATACTCAAGATACTGCACACAGTCACATACATTCAGCATAAGCCATATGAAAAATAATCTCAACCAAATTTGAAGTCCCACCCCAGTTTCAGTAGCCACTACATGAACGATGGCAAACTCAATCATATCTTTCCTCTCCAAACTCAAACTATTCCTGCATGCCCCAAAATCGCAGTTTTATTCACTCTCTAGACCCTATTTATTAGTACAGCTGTCTCCACTATTAACCAGAGGGAAGGATAAACCTTTGGCCATTGTAAACTAAACAGAAACACCTGTGTCTCTCATTGTTCAGTGTGTGTGTGGTGTGTATGTGTGTTTGTGTATGTGCATATAGCTGTCTCTTTCCCCCAAAATACCAACTCCTGAAAATAAAACTAACTCCCATGCCCTCCCATAGCCCCACATGGCTTTGAAAGACAAGAACAGGCGGAGCAGCAAATATTTCACTTCATCTTATTTGAAAAGAAAAGGAGAGTAAGCGAGGAGAGAGGGAGAGAGAATTCTTGTGGCATTCCAAAGGTCCCAGGACACTTATTCCACATGCCTGAGCTGAGCCCCGAGTGACTTGGGAGTCTTAAAAAGAGCATGGATTTCTAGGCAGCTACCCAAATTCAACACAGACACTATTCTATCTGCATTTTTTAATGACCAAAGAGAAATAGGGGTGGCGGAGATTAGGAGGTGGGAGCAGTTGCAAAGTTGGATGAAAACAAATGTGCTATGCAAAAGGTAGTCTGGATACTCCTCTAGAAGGAAGGGCTACATTGATTTGTAACTTGAAGAGGGTGATTGTGCTCATACATGATTATGCAATGAATAAGTTGTTCGGAACATTGCATGTCTCTGTAAGTATTCTAGCCTGAGGGCTGTCTCAAACTTTTCCGCACACTTTTCACTAACGCCAGTCCTCCCCCCACCCACCCCCACTCCATCCATCTCTGTGGAAGCTGCAAAGCTAAAAGCTTCCTTCCACAGAGGCTTGCTCCAAAACATGCTATACACCAACTCCAGCAGACTGTGGGTCTATATAAATGCCATGGCATTTGCCTGTGTTTGGATAAACACATGATAAAATTTTAAATGTTAACACTTCCACATGCAATGTGGAAAGAATGTTTTTGCTAGAGTTTGACGTGGGGGAAGAAGGAACATTTAAATAGGGTTGACTGAAGAATACATTTTGAAATGTCAGTGTGCTCTCTTTGCTAAAATGTTTAAATGACAAAGTTGCAATATTAGAAACTTTTGTGGCAGGTTTGGAAACTCAGTTTTGTAATGAAATGTAATTACAAAATTCTTTATCTTCAAAACTTATAGGCCTTACTATCAAAACCTATCTTAAGATGCTGGATATAAATACACACACACATACACACACACACAGAGAATTCTAGAGAAGTATCAGTTTTGCACCTAAAAGAAGAGTCTTGTGACATAACTACTTTAGCATAATCTTCAACATTCCAATCTTCTCCTACATTTCAGTCAATAGCAAGATAAACAAAAATAGTGCTCTTGAACCTTACCTCGGTCAGTTTGGCCCAGTTGAAGGATTTCAGTGGATGAGATGGCTGTGGGATTGACTTTTTCTTTAGACTAACCTCACTGTTGCTAAAAGTGGTGGTGGAAGAAACTGGAGGCATACTGACATTGAAGAATGGAGGTGCTCCAGGTGGGGGTGGAGGTCCACCTGGAGGTGGTGGTGGAGCTGGAGGAGGACAGCTGGAGAAAGGAAGAGGTGGTGGAGGTGGTGGCAAAATCTCTGATGATCGTAGAGAAGAGGACAAAGCAAATGGTCCACCAGGTGGTAGTTGAGGAGGGAGTGGGAATGTACTATTGTTCCCTTGCTGAAACAAAAAATGTTTTGGAGCAATCAGTAAAGAAATATTAGTTTTTAACAGAGTACCAAAAATATAATAGCCCTCACCAAACATCCTAAAAGTCCGTATTAAAGATTACCTCAGGGCGATAAGGGTGGCAAAATGTCAATATTTATCCACCCTTTTTGCAACTACTGATAGCCGTCCCTTTTTAGGGCAATCCAGTCCCTGCCAGGTAGGGATGGGAGGAGTATTTTGGATATTTTGTGGATAAACATGCTCTGATTCACACTGAGTTGGATTCCAGATGGGCAGGTCCAGCCAAAATGCTAGGAGCAGAGTCTGGTGACATGATCTGGGATGAGTTTGAGTCAGGGATACTTCTTGTTGTTTTAAACTTTATTGTCATTGTACCTCATACAACACATCCTTCACATTCTATTCACCACTGCACAACCCCTGATGTTACATTAATATTGCACTATACAGTAGAGTTCAATATAGTTGCAGCTCTGGGATAAAAGCTATTTTTCAGCCTATGTGTCCCTGTTTTTATTATCCTGTACCATCTGCCAGATGGTAATAGTTCAAAAAAAGAATGTCCAGGGTGA